GAGAGAGAGAGAGAGAGAGAGAGAGAGAGAGAGAGAGAGAGAGAGAGCTGGCACACACATGACAGCACATGTGTGGACATTAGATGACAGTTTTCAAGGCTGGTTCTCTCCTTCTGCTATAGGATCCAGGGACTGACCTCAGGTCAGGTCATCAGGCTCGCACAGAAAGAACTTTCTTTCTCACAGAGCCATGCTCTGGGCCCCTCACGCCCTCCTTGGCTGTGCCTCACATTCCGCATTAGAGCGTGGACGGGGGCTTCCCGTGTGCCTCAGCCCCTTTCTTCCCGTGTCCCGCTCCCCGCCTCTGCTGTGAGGTGTCCGGCAGGTGCTCAGGTCCTCTTTCATCTTGCTGTCTGATTGCTTCTTGCCGTGGTCGTGAGGGTAGGTGAGCAGGAGAGGAAATACTAGCAAGGTGTTCAGATCCCATGTGTGGATAAGGAAACGAGACTCATAACAGCTGACTTAGAGACAGGCTGATACAGCCTGGTGGGTGGGAAACTGAGCCAGGTGCCGTGGTAGCAGTGTCCTTTGGGAGGCCCACAGTGCCTGGCTGATGTTCTCACCGGCCTGGAATGGCAGCTTGGCACTCAGAGGCTTGCCTCTGTCCTGGGAGCCATCTTTTACCTGGGGCTCTGGCCAAGGACTGGGCCTCTCTCGTTGAGATTCATCCTCCCTGTTTCCGCGGGAGTCTGTGAATCACAGCTTTTGTTGACACCGGCCAAGCAGAGCTCAGATATTTACTCTGTTGCCGGTCCTGGCGAGGTTGGTGCACGCTTGTCCTTGCCCACAGAAAGAATAAACATCTTTGTGTTCTTTGCTCCCCTTTACGTGATAATCTGTCTCCCAGAGGAAGGGACGCGTGTTTGTTTCCCCCAAGCATTCTGAGTAAACTGCAGAGCCTTTGCAGGACCAAAGGCTGGCTGGGGCAGGCCTCCGGAGCCCAGCATGGCACATGCCCACAGGAGGGAATGCCAGCGGATGGCTTGGCACTTTCCCTCCGCACCGCCTTTGGCAACACGAGGTTGGCATCTTCCTGGCTACTCCCTTCCTTTCCCACAGGTCCTCCTCCTGGCACCCCATTTTCTGGGTTTGTGGCCTTACTGTTTCCTGTCCACAGCGCACCTTCTCTGGGGTCACTCTCTGGCTTTCTTCTCCCCTGATTTTCCCACCGAAGGTGGCAGCAGCTGCTCACACTGGGTGGTCTCCCTCACTCACACGGGGAGCTGAGCTGAGGCAGATAATTCTTTGACTTCTTCCTTCACTGGTCTGTGACTTTTCCCCTGGCTGTGACCTTCACTGTGACCTTCGAGTGCCTGGGATAGCCGGCCTCCCCAACGCACAGGTCACTGTCCTCTTTATTTGTATTCACTGTGTGTATGTGTGAGCTGGAGATCTCAAGATATATTGACTCTTTTTGTAAAATAGCATTTTTATTTGTTCTTTGAAATTTTCATTCATGCATACAACATATTTTGATTATACTCCATACTCCTATCTACTTTTTTTGTTTTGAACAGAGACCAAGTTTTACTCTGAAAATAGATCTTAGTAACAATGAGATAGATACCCAAAGGTGGCCATTCTAATAGAGGAAACGGGAACAGGAGTCTGCTTTAATGCTTTCCCTGAAGCTCCCACCTACTCTGAAAACTGTTCTTCTTTGCTTTCTACCAAGGAGGTTTCTTTGGATAATTAATTGGTTTGCTTATTTACTGGTGTGTGTACGTGTGGGTAACATGTACACTCTCAAGTGTGTGTGCAAGTGCACGTATGTGTGCACATGTGCATGTACGTGTGTGCACATGCACGTGGAGGTTACAGGCCAACCTTGGATGTTGTTCCTCAGGAACCAGCTACCTTATTTTTTCAGACAGGGTCTCTCACTAGGACCCGACGCTCACCAATTAGGCTGGGTGGTTAACAAACTCCAGGGGTCCACTTGTCCCGACTTCCTGTGCTGGGATTATAAGCAGTGCTTCCTTAACAGCACTCTCTCCAGGGCCCTCCAACCCCTAAGCAGCCTTCCCGGGAAGCCAGGGACCCATGCTAACTCTTCCCACCTGTCCCGTGGAAGGCTTCCCCAGATGTGTCCCTCGGATCCTCCGGTAGAACGGCAGCAAGAGCTCATCTGACAGACGGGCCCAGCGGGAAGGAGACCTACGGAATCCTTTCTGCTCTCTGACCATGCGGGCTTTGGTCTGGGGGGTGCTGGGCCCAAGGACGCTGCGTGTTCTGGGATCCAGAACTAGACAGCTGGGCCCTGAGATTCCCCTCACGCCTGCCCCTGGAGCCTAGGGTGACTGCCACCACCCTCAGCGGAACTTGAGGTCCTTGCCAGTGTGGATCCCATTGACAGAGTGGGCTAGCAGCTGGGGAGGAGTCAGGGAGGACAGCAAGGCAAAGACAGGGCCCAGGGTGAGGACTTGGGGCTCGCACCCGAGACTTCGGGCTTTCAACCAGGCCCGGGCAGGGAAGGAACATGGGCAGAAGGGCAGAAGGGCAGTGGACAGAGGAGACCTCCTCCCAGAGAGGCCGTGCCCCGGCATCAGAGGACCCAAGCCATAGCTGTCCACCTCGCTGCCTTGACTCTCTTCCTCTCAGCAGCGCCTCCCGCGTGCAGACTGCCCCCCCCCCCCGTGTGCTCACTGCCCCCCGTGTGCTCACTGCCCCCCCCGTGTGCTCACTGCCCCCCCGTGTGCTCACTGCCCCCCATGTGCTCACTGCCCCCCCCGTGTGCTGACTGCCCCCCGTGTGCTGACTTTCCCCCCCCCCTGTGTGCTCACCCCCCCCCTCCCCGTGACGCCCAGACTTGAAGCATTTTTCTTGCTTGACTGCACGAGGGTGGCCGCACTTCCTCCATATTTGGTGTCTTCTAGACACCACCAGCCGGCTTGTGAAGGGCCGGGCCATATGTGGTTCCCTTTGCACCGTGCTCAGCTCACTAGTGTGTGCTCTCTCACTAGTGTGTGCTCTGTCACTAGTGTGTGCTCTCTCACTAGTTGTGTCTGTTGACCTCAATGTTTCGATGAAGCTCAGTACTTGAGACTCACGCCTACGTGCAGCTGCACGCCGTGTCTGCTCCTCACACAGATCCACGTGGCTTGTGATGGGCAGCGCGGGGGTCCTCAAGATTCTCCCAGGAAGTTTTAGCAGCAAAGCGGCGGCGCCCTCTTTCCACCTGAAATCGTACTTCTAAGAAGCAAGATGTGGCTTCCTGTGTGATCAAGAGCATCAGACACACTCAGAGGAGGTACCTATGTGAAATTCTACACACACACACACACACACACACACACACACACACACCTTAACACTCACTGCACAACAATACACAAGAACATGCTGGTGACGGGCACCGGAGCAAAGAAGAATAAAACAGGGGCAGAATGTTAGAGTCTGGAGAAGCTGTGCAGCTGAGGAATCTTGGGTCCCTGGGGAAGCTGTGCAGATGAGGTCCCACAGGAGGCAGACCTGTGAACAATCATCCAGTCACACACCCAGCCACTTGGCGGCTAGGCTGCTTATTTCTTTCTGTCTGCTGTCCCACACATGCCGGAGCCTCCCTTACCCTGTAGATCACAAAGGGATAAACTCTGTTGTCTGTGACACAGTTAGATCCCTTCCTGGGGGCAGGTGGTGCATGAGATACCAGTAACTCACGGGGAGTGGGGGGATTTAGACAAGTCAGGATTTAAAATGTGTCTGACCATTCACGTCCAGCCACTTCGGTGGTCTTTTTCGGTCCCCAGGTTGGGGCTGCTTCATCCACTGAGTCTCTCTGACTCCTGTGGAGAGGCTGTGGGAAGGAAATGGTGAGGGAGGAAAGAGAACCACAAAGGAGATGCTGCTCTGGCTCTTCCTTGGAGGCGGAAATCCGGAAGTCCTCTGAATAAGCAAGGAGTACAGTACCTAGAAACCTGGTGTGTTGGGCACCGGCGTGGAGATACAGCCTGTGGGCACAGTCCGGGTGGGCTGGGCGATACCGGTGTGCCGAGGGACGCTGCTGACACAACTTCATTGGCTTGCAACTGGTGTGGAGGTGGCTGCTGAGCCTGGTGTGTGTGTCACAGCTGGGGAGGGAGAGCCAAAGGCAGTCACCTCATCCCCATGGCCTGGCAGGTTCCGCCTTAGCATTCAGGAACTTGGTTCTGGAACTCGGGTCCTGGCGACTAGTTGCCCCTTGGTGTCTAGGCTTCACTGATCCCAGTTACCTTGGAGACACTTCAGATCTTAGTCCTTCCAATGAGCTGCATTCTCCCTCATCTCTTCTTCTAAGAAATAAAGGAGGCCTATGGGTACTGGGATACAGCGGGGAGGCGCAGTCACCCCCAGAGGACCATAGTGGTAGGATGCCATTTTAGGGGTAGGCCCAGCATGTTCAGGGGAGCTCGGAGATCCCTGGGATCTCCCATGCTTTATGAGTGAAGAGAGTGAGTTCCAGTGTCCTGTAGGAAGTTGAGAGTAAGACTGGACCCAGGACTATTGTCTTCCGTCCCAGCACAGTGCCTTGGTTCTGTGTTGTTACCCTCTGTGCCTGGGTGGAAAGGGATTGGTTTCTGGGGTTCTTACCCTCTTGTGGCTTTCTGAGCTATGAAGAAGATGAACGGGACAGATAGAAAATAATAGTCACACGCAATGGTGTATGACATAATTAGAAAATTTAATATTTAGACAGTGAGTAGACTGGCCCATTTATGAATGGGCCTTGAAGACCTCAAATAAGCCCTTGTGGTTTATCTATCTGGTGGTGCCATATGTCACATTCTGGGCGCACACAAGAGAAAGACAGGAATCAGTGTCCTAGTGTAGGAGAATGGCTTGGGGGTGGCTCCTCTGCAGAACCACAGAGTTAACGCACCTAAGACACTGAGGGTGGGACTGTCCTTATTTGCTGGATGGTCACCCACCCTCCCTTTCTGCGTCAAACCTTTGTGGGGCATTGCCTACCCGAGTGCCTCTGGATGCAGGACTGTGCTTTTCATGTTCCCCAGGAAGGCTTGTCTCATGAAACACGCAGAATTGTGCTAGGAATTGTTGTCCCCACTCAGACTGCATGATACCCAGGTGAGCTGCTGGCACCAGATCAGCAATACTGATCGTGAAGATGGTGATGACGATGGTGTTGGGAAACTGAGAGCCGTTAAGCTGGGAATGACTGACCGGAGGCACCTGGAACCCATCTCTGTTCCACCTTCAGAGGGGATGAACTCAAAAGCCCAGATGCAGAGGGGCAGATTAAGCCTGTGGCTGACCCATCACTGCCGCAGAATCAGCATCTTTGGAGAGGAACTCGGTTGAAGGCCCTTTTGGTTCCTCAGCTCTCTCTTGATGTGCAGTCGGTGTGCAGTTGATTGACAGGCAGCTCCAAGCTGGGAAACAGACCTGTCCCTGGACTCAGAGGGAGGAGACATGTCCACCGAGCAGACCAGGCTACATCTGAGCCACTTGGACATGGGTCTCTCTCCTTCATGGAAAGGGTGAAGGGGCAGGTGGCCTGTGGGCAAGGCTGCAGGGCTCTCGGTGGGATTCCTGCCGTGTGTACTCTGGATGTGTTCCACCAGGCCGACAAGAGACAAATTCCCCTTAAAGGAAACAGCTGAGGGCGCCTCTCCTTCACCCTGAGCACCGCCTTATTAAGCAAGAGTTGGGCAACCCTGAGCGAGCTCGGAGACTCATGAAAAATGACGAGAGGATTGGGAAATAGCATGAAGAAGGGGGAAGGTGGTGGTGACAGGGCCGATGTGTTGCTTTGTTGTTGCTATGGCAACCAACCTGGGACTTCCTTAAGGAAGGAGTCATTGAACTTTCAATGGGCTTCTATATTCTAGTAATGAATAGGGGAAAGACTGTCTCTCCAGAGAGGTTATGGAGATTTCTTGGATGACTGAGGGGATGTGACTCTGCGATGGAGGGGGAGTTCTGTTTTTGCTGTACTTCCTGTTTCCACAAGATAAACACCTCTGTTCTCTGTCCTGACAACACTGTGAAAGCATCCTGGTATTTACTCAATGTCCCCTTGAAGATGCAAATGCTCCCTTTGCCTCTCTGAAGTCGAACCTACCATTGTTCACACACTTACACACTTACACACTTCACCCCCTTGCCTCTTGGTCTATGTGGTATGGTGGTGGTGGTGGTGGTGGCAGTGGTGTGTGTGTGTGTGTGTGTGTGTGTGTGTGTGTGTTTATGTCCATAATTCTGGATGTCACAGGTTAGAATTTTTTCAAAGATAGGCACAAAAGTCCATTGAGGTCGACATTGAGCTTTTAGTAACGTGCTCATCTCATTTTAGATTGCCCTTCCGTGCCCAGAGCCTTGCTGTGCCACGGGCAGTGACTGACTGCTGGACCGCTGAGCATCCAAAGGTGCAGAAAAGCAGACAATGAGTTTTTTAAAGGGATTTTTGGAAGCAAAATAATGCGGCACCAGGAGCTGATGGCAGACATGTTTTATTCCTTATCTCCAAAGGATAAAGAAACGTCAGAGCAGGGGAACGCGATTTCAGAGGCACAAAGGAACTCTTGGAAAATGATGGACAGGAAAATAAAGCTTGGCTAGAGTCCAGTGCTGAGGGAAGAGAGAATATGGCAACAGAGCTGGCCTGGGAAAAAACCTCCCATTCATCTTCCTCCCAGTGCAGGCTGGGATTACCAAGCTGTAGAGTAAGCATCGCTTAGCCTTTGCCCTCAGTGTGGGTGTATCTATCACCAGCTGACATCACCACCCAGCACGGCCTTCTCAGGTGAGGAGCCTGCTCCCTCACCTCATGTCTTAATATCCTAGGACAGCTGTATCTCCACCAGAGGACAAGCAAGGCGTAGGAGGCTGGAGGGGAAAGGCACTGGCCAGGTCCTCCCCATGGTCAGAGGGGGGCGGGGGTGACAGAGGGAGCCCTGAGTGTGGTGAGAACAAGCCTCCCTGTGGAGGAAAATTCCAGCATAGAGTCCTCAGCAGTCAGCCCTGCCCTGCCTATGTACTTTCTGAGCCTTGGGTTTTCATTCTTTAAGATGGAATTGAGCCCAAGATCAAGGTACAGAAATCAGTATTTTTCCCCATGGACTACTTTGGAGGAAAAACAAGATGTGAGAAGAGTTGTATCTAATGACAGACACGATGACTTACCTAGGGACACACAACAGCCATCAATGTGCAAATCTAATTAATCTTATCAATAAAAACCAGGAATCAGATATGGGCTAAAACCCTGAGAGATCAGAGAAGCAGGGGAGCAGCCACCAGTGACTTCCTATCTCTTCTGTTCCTCTGTCCAAAAGGGTTAGATCCTCTCTCCACCCAACCTTCTCACTTCCTGTCTCCTCTCTGTAGGGACCTCCAGGCCTCTCTGGTTAACTAGTGGCTAGCTCCGCCCTCTGACTCCAAGCAAGCTTCATTTGTCAGGACACAAACAGAATCTCACACAACAAGCAATGTCAGCGAAAACAACCTGAGCACTCTGTAAGTAAACAAGGAGGACTTGAGGGTGTATGGGAAGCTCTGGCCGTGAGGGTGGTGAGATCAAAGGGGTCCATGAAACCAAGGAGAAACAGGAGCGACTTCGGCAGATCTCAGAAGTGGTGATCCCTTGAGACAGGGAGGAGGCTCCTTCTCCTCTCGGAGCAGCAAAGTAGCAGGCACCCCGACTCCCACTCCTGAGAATTAACTGCCACTCATTGTGACCTGCTTGCTTTTGTCCTGTTTTTTTCCCTTGCTAAGATCTTTGAACCACCTACAAGCAGAGTAAACACATTGTACTTTAAAACAACCCACAGTTACCAAAATGGGCCCCGGCTGGTGCTGCTGTCTCCCGCCGGCAAGGTCAGGAGACATGGAAAGGGTGTGTGTGTGTGTGTGTGTGTGTGTGTGTGTGTGTGTGTGTGTGCAGCCCAGAAGACTCCAAGGCTGGGTTACCAGTGAGGGGGAGGCTCTCAGGTGTGATTGTTGGTCCTGGTTGGCATCTTGACTGGACTGGTAAAACATACCTATCCTGTGCCTGTGAATGCATTTATAGAAAAGAGGGGCACGTGAGACAGTGGGGGGGGGGGCAGGAGGAAGACTCCCGCTGAATGGGGGCAGCAACAGTTGTTAGTATTCTGACCTGCCCCTTGGAAACCTGCCCCTTGGAGACCCGCCCAGCATCTTGACATAAAGTCTCCTTTTAAAGAGAGAATTGCCCCGCCCCGTCTCCATTCCCATGAGGTGTGCACCCTCCACCCCTCTCCTAAACCTTGGTGCCATGTAGTTGTACTTAAATCATTTCAATGGAAAATACCAAAGTGATTGGAACTTCTAGTGCAGTTTGGAGTTCTTCCATTTGAAAAATGTAATATTTGCATGGGATTGTTTGAATCTTGTTTTCTAGTCCCTCCCCATCACCACCCTCATAGTCTGAAGGTAGATTTTTCTCTTG